TCAGAAAACCTGTGTGTGTGAAAACGGCACCACTGCCATGCTATGCAGGCTTTGCTCACTAGGACGGATCTCACACCCAAAATATATACCCACGGGATGGGATTCAAAAGTGAATGAGCACATATGCTTTCACGTCTGGCTTCTGCTCCACGTACTTTTTTGAGATTGATGTGGCATGTATCAATAGTGTGTTCTTTATCATTACTACTTTGTATTCCATTGTCTGAGTACATATTTCACAATTTGTTTATTCATTCTGCTGTTGGTAGATATCTGGGTTGCTTCTAGTTGTGGGGTTTTTGTTTGGCTTTTTATGAATAATGCTGCTATAACTATTTTCATGCAAGACTTTTTGCGGACATACTCATTTTTCTTACCTCCATATACCCAAGAAGGAATTAGACGGTAGACATATGTTTAAGTTTATTAGATACTGCTGAACAGCCTCCAAAGCAGCTACACCATTTTACACTCTCACCAGCAATTTATGAGTTCCAGTTGCTCCACATCTTTGCCAACATAGGTATTATTAATCTTTTTCATTTTAGCCCTTCTAGTATACAGTAGTATATCACTGTGGTTTTCATTAGAATTTTCCTGGTGAGTCATGATGTTGAGCACCTTTGTATATGCCTATTGGCCTTTTGTATATTTTCTTTTGCAAATTGCCTCTCAGGAGAATTGAGGAAGTGGTGGTGGCTGTATCTGTCAGGGAAAGGAGGTAAAGGGATGATTTGGAAGAGCAGACTCAATAATGGTAAGGAGACTTTTTCCAGCCCTAAATATTTATGCTGTTTGGTGTCTTAAATAGATAATAATGTAGGGGCCGGCCCGGTGGCGCAGTGCTGTAGTGCGCCGCTTGGGAGCATGGTGGCGCTCCCGCCGAGGGTTCAGATCCCACATACAGACCGGTTCCCGCTCACTGGCTGAGCGAGGCGCGGGAGCAACACCATGGGTTGCGATCCCGTTGCCGGTCCCAGTCCGGTACGGGGGCGACACTGAGGGTTGCGATCCGTTGCCGGACACGGAAAAAAGACAAAAAGGAAAAAACAAATAGATAATAATGTATAAAGTGGTTAAAAGAAGAATTCAGTAGGCACCCATTTACAAATCTCCCCTCACCCCCAGCCCACAACTGTCCACAATTCTGCTTCAGTGCTTCGGTCCCTTGGGTTTTTCATGAGGGGCTCTCAGCACCCTCATAAGGGTGCATTTGTGGGCTTCTTTCTAGCCTCACAGTGGGCTGGGCGTGTCGGGGGAAGGATTTGGGCACTTGGGGTTTGGGATGGCATGTCGGGCAGGGGTATGGCATTCAAGCCCTTTGGGGAAGCCTGAAGGCCCTGACTGCCCAGGAGAGAGTGGTGACAAAGGACAAACCCAGAAATGGAAGGAAGGCTTAGGACAACAAATGCATAGGATGTCCCCTGGACTCTACCTACCTCATTGTTTTGTTTTTTCATGATTGTTCACCTTGGTGCGTGTTGGAGTTGAGGAGAGGGTAGCACAAGATGAATTACACATGGCATTACTAAACATGTTTGGAAGATAAGAGCACAGTGCCAGCCAGTGGGAGACTTCGTTCCTTTGTCTAAAGGGAATGAATGTGCTATGTAATTGTAGCAACAAGAGTGACATGCGAAGAAGGCATTGCCAGACTTTTTTAAGCCTTTGAGAAATATCAAAGCAATTCATATTCATGTATAACACATCCACACACACTCCTGCACAGAAAAATCTGAGGCAGATGGGGTCCCCTCCATTTCACAGACAGGTCATAGTATGTGTGCAAATGCAAGGACTTGGTCTAAGGACAGACAAGTGCCATGGTAGAGATGGTAGAAAATGAGAGCCCATGTCACCTCACTAGAAGCTCAGTGTGGATTGCAATGTACATCTTTGCACTAAGGTTTTTATTCCTGTATTCAAATCTACCACAACATCCAGTCTCCAGTAAATATTTCTCATGTTTAAGACAGCACGGCAGTAATGTATCAGCTCTGAAAGTCAACTGCTGTAAATGCCATGTGGTATGGGTTAGATCACAAACCAGAACCAATTTTTCAGAACATTTCCTGCTGGAATACCCACAACAGTTCAACAGATGTCTTTTGGAAAGTCTTGAAGCAAAATAACCCCCCATCAGCATATAAAATAAAACCCCCCAAAAAGTAAAATATGGAACGGAGGGATTATTTTTTCTTCTGGCAGTAAAAGATTGGGGAAAATCCTGAAATTTTTGGATACATACTCGTCCATAGCCACAAAAGTGGAAAATGAGCTTTTCTCACACATACCCCACAAGAAAAATTGGGATTTGAAAAAATATTCTTCCACTATTCACTAAAGAAATTTCTTTCACTGCTTTTGAGTATAATGTTTGTTATTTCTTGTTTGAGCAGTTCATAATTCTGGCTTTTATTGGAGCAGCCTCATGGGAAGCTAGGGAAGGAATTTGAGGATATAGCTGATAGGGCCAGAAGGCACAGAAATGGAGTAAGGCATCAAAGAAGACCCTTTGTCAGGGACTAGGTGGGCATGACTGAGAGTGGCCAATTCTAAAATGCTGCCCCTTGGGGTCTGAGGCCTCTCAAAATCAGCAGTACAAGGGGTAGAATGGGGGCCTGAAAGAGGAGGGAAAAATTACTCTTGTTTTAAAATTTTTTCTCCAACATTTTATTATGAAAAATCTCAAAAGTCCAGAAAAGTTGAATTATACAGTGAACAGGCATATACCCATGAAGCAGAAATGATTTTTAGTTTTGATCTGACAGTTTGTTTCCACTGGGGCTGATTTTGACCCT